TAGATGGTGCCCAGCTATCACTTCAGGCCACTCTGAAAGAGATCACAATAGAAGGTCCTGTATTAGAGAAATATGTGGGACAAAACTCAAAATCAGTTTAAAATAACTATGATTGGGCTCTCTGGTTGAATAGAGACTAATGGAACCTCCAAGTCTATGGTCACCTTTCAAACCTGGAACTGAACTCATCTCAGTGACTCAACGTTCAGCCAAGCAATAGACAGACCTATCCAGTGAACAGTAATGCCAAAGAGATGCTACTCTAAAATAATCAACCATTTGAGATCAAAGGCACAGCACTTACCAAGCAATAGAGTTCAGAAGCCAAGAAGGTATATAAAAAGAAGGATGGATGGAAACACAGGGAAGAAATGGAATGAGCAGGTACACTGTGGTGATTGCAACAGATGGCATGACACACAAAAATATATATCAATTGTTTAATAGAAAGCTCTAGAGATTTTCATCCAAATCTCAATAGTTCTTTTAAAAACAGACAAGGTAGAGACTGAGATAAAAAACAAAAAATTCAACTGCCATCATGTTGATTCAAACTCATATTAACCCTATATGGTGTTTCTGAGACTATAAATCTTTACAAACGCAAATAGCCTCATTTGTCTTTCTCAGATTGATTGGTGGGTTTGAACTCCTATCCCACAGCACCGCCGGGGCTCCTTAAAGACTATGAGAAACATTTAAAGTACATATCTGACAAAGGATTTGTATTCAGAATATATCAAGAAGTCCCACAACCCAACAGAAAATAAATAAAAAATAAATAGATAAGCCACTCAATTTAACAGAATGGGCAAAAGGCTCTAACAGACCACTCACCAAAGAAAATACAGGAATGTCAAATAAGCTCATGACAAGATATGCAACATCACTAGCCATTACAGAAATGCTATTTTAAATTTTTTAAATTCTGTTGCAACACCGCTATGCACCTATAGAGCATTGATATATACCAAGTCCTAGAAAAGTTCAACAAGTGGAACTCCTGGACACTGTAGGAATGCAATAGGTCACACCCACTCTGCCAAGTAGCTCTACAGTTTCTTACTGAACATTGCTGTTGTTGTTCTGGCCATCAAGTCAGTTGCAGCTCACAGGGACCCAGTGCACAACAGAACGCAGTCACTGCCTGGTGCTGCGCCAGCTCACAATTGTTGCTATGTTTGAGCCCATTGGTGCAGCCTGAGTGTCACTTCATAAGATGAAAGGTTTTCCCCTTTTCATTAGCCCTCTACTTTTCCAAGTATACTGTGAGACAAAGTTTTGACGTTCTTAACAATATGATTCAGCAGCCCAACTTACCATAGGATTCAGCAAACCTTCTCCTTATATTTATCTTAAAACATGAAAACTTATGTTCACACAAAAACCTGTATCTAAATGTGTAGCAAAAGCAACTTGCTCTTGACTAATGAAAAAGGCTGATGGTCAGACCCACCCAGTGGCCCCAAGGAAGAAAGGCCTGGTGATTTGCAAGGTAATTTGCTTCTGTAAGCTGGCAGCTAAGAAACTCTTAAGGAGCACATTTCTCCTCAGATGCACATGGGGCTGCCATGTGCCAGGATAGACCTGACAGCAAAAGGTTTGGGTTTTGCTGTTAGCATTCATTGCAACTCTACTAATAGTTACCCCAAGTGGGAAATAGCACAAATTTCTTCTGTTGGGTGAATGGATAAACGAACGATGGTATGTCCATACAGTGGAATTCTGGTAATCAATGAGGAGGAACTAGTGATGTGCCAATGGCTTGGATGAATTACAAAGGCACTATGCTGAATCAAAGAAGTCAGTCTCTAAAGGTTACACAATGTATGCTTCCATTTATTTGACATTCTGAACAAGAACAAATCTGAGCTGCCTAGAAATAAGAGTGGAAATGAAAAGGGTTTGTCAAGGCTGGGAGAGACAGCATGAGGAAATTTCAGAAGGTGATGGAAGTGTTCAGTATCCTGATGGTAATAATTGTTACCCTAATATAGTCATTGAACATTAAAAATGTCCATTTTTCTATGGGATAATGTGTAAACAGCATTTAAAAAGTAAAGTAAAAGGCAAAAGATTTATACGATCTGAAGAGAAACCAGAGCCCTACAGGACCAGTGGTGTGAGTGGCGAAACAGGGAGGGTAAAGGGAGAGTGGGTAGGAAAGAGGGAACCGATTACAAGGAACTATATGTGACCTCCTCCCTGGGGGACGGACAACAGAAAAGTGGGTGAAGGGAGACGTCGGACAGGGCAAGATATGACAAAATAACTATTTATAAATTATCAAGGGCTCATGAGGGAGGGGGGAGCAGGGAGGGAGGGGAAAAATGAGGACCTAATGTCGGGGGCTTAAGTGGAGAGGAAATGTTTTGAGAATGATGAACAAATGTGCTTTACACAATTGATGTGTCTATGGATTGTGATAAGAGTTGTATGAGCCCCTAATAAAATGATTTTTTAAAAATAAAAATTAAAAATTAAAAAAATAAATAAATAAAAAGTAAAGTATGCAGTAGTGAGAGTTTTAAACTATGAGCACAATTAATATAATATGAGGTAAGTCTAAAAGTATTGCAACTAGGGTCTAATGCTTACCTGCATGAGCTTATTCTAAACAAAACATGTTTAAACATGCCTCTGTGGTCAGTGGATGACACAGATTGGCTCTCTCAGGTTTAGCCTTCTTTTTGTCTCATTAGGATGCCTTCAGAAAAGGTCCAATCAAAGCAGGGACCTCTGAGTGGATCTGCTTGATCAGGTAAATTCAAGACAGAGAGGTCAGCTCAGAAGGTTATGGGATTCCAAGAAGGTTGTTTATTGTGACAGGTGTTCGCAAAGGACACAGGACAACCATAGGAGCTTATTAGGAGGAAGTTTGAATGAAATTGAAAATTTCATTGATGAGAGAGAAAAAAAGGCCATGAAATTATGCCAAGGAATGTTTTCTTTTTAATCACAACATAATCCTGCTCCGCCTTCAAGGACAGCAAGGGTTGTCCTATAAGAATTTTGTTAGAAACCCTGACCTCATCCATCCAACAGCCTTGATCTTGCTTATTCAAACTTCTTTTTTGTTCCCCAAACTCAAAGAACATTTAAAAGGGACTTGAGTTGAATCTCTTGAGGATGCCAAAACTGCCATTTGGGCATGGTGTGACCTGAAAAGTGCATCCTTTGGCAGGGAAGGTTAGACAGACAGAAACACCACCTTCAGAAATATATAGCCAAATATGGAGGACATGTCAAGAGACAATAGCTTCATATTTTATAATATTTTGTTGAATAAACATTTCTGTAGTTTTGGAGCAATGCTTTTTAATCTATCCTCATATAGGGTTTTGATGCCTGGTTTTAAACTAATTGTCAACTAAAATTCTTTCAACTAACACAATGATTATTCACCAAACATCTGATCCTTCCTTGAATCTTTGACCCAAACATCTTAACTAGAAACCAGTCACTGATCAGCTGAAAGACAGCCAAGAGAGCAAACCCTTTTAATAAAATTGAAGTCACAGCTGTGCAGAAGCAGGTCAGAACAACTTTCTCATTTAAGTTGAATAATTTTCGAGCCATTCCTTCCAAAATGTAAATTTGGTTTGAGAGAATGTCTGCTTGGGCTGAGTTATGAGGTAGGTTGTAATTCTTATGGGTGTAAAGCATCTGTGTTTTCTCTGATGCATGTTTAAATCTATTTTCTCTTTTAGAATGAATTCTGGAATAAATACAAAGGTAAGACATGTTTTCTATTTCAATCATAAGTGAGAAGGGTTCATTAAGAAGTTAAATTGGGAAGAGAAGGTCTTTGAATTTTGAAAATATCTCCGCTCTGCTCCTGCTAAAATCTTACTTATTTAAAACTTTCTCTTTGGAGTGTTTCTATAATGGTTTTTGTAAGGCAGTCACACGCTTCTTGTTTTGTTCTTTACTTACATATATATGGTAAATAAGGGTTGAAGTCCATTCATTCTCATTTGAGGATAGCAAGTTCCATGATCTTTTTTATCCACATGTATCAGGCGCTATTGTTATTGTTATTATATGCCATCAAGTAATTTTTGGTTCATAGCTGACCTGAGTACAATAAAAAGAAACACTGTCTAATGCTGAGCCTTCCTCATAAGTCACGCTGTTTGAGAACATTGTTGCAGCCATTGTTGTCAATCCATCACATTGAGGGTCTTTTTCTTATTCCCTGACCCTCTCCTTTACCAAGCATGATGTTCTTCCTCAGGGACTGGTTCCTTCTGACCACATGTCTCACATTCTTCCTTCCAAGGAGCATACTGGCTATATGTCTTCCAAGACAGATTGATTTGTTCTTCTGGCAGTCCACGGGACTGTCAGTATTCTTCACCAGCACCATTTTCAAACGCGTCAACTCTTCTCCAGTCTTCCTCATTCATTGCCCAACTTTCACACCACGTGAGGCCATCAAAAAAGACTATGGCTTGGCTCAGGCACACCCTCGTCCTCAAAGTGACACCTTTGGTCTTCAACACTTTAAAAAGGCCTTGTGCAGCAGATTTGCCCAATGCAATCCACAGTGTAATTTCTTAACGGCTGCTTCCATGAACATTGATTGTGGATCTAAGTAAAATGAAATCTTTGACAACTTCGGTCTTTTCTCTTTTTTTATTATTATTATTTTTTTTTTTTAACTTCAGTCTTTTCTCTGTTTATCCTGATGCTATCTATTGGTCCAATTATGAGTATTTTTGTCTTCTTTTGGTAGAAACAAAAAATAGAATCTGAAATACTGAATCACCTAATCACGTAAACACCTCAATTTAATACATAGCATTACTTAATACATCGATACTTACAGCATCTGATGTAGTTATCAGATAGTTTTCATTTGGAGCCTTATTTTAATTTTTCCAAATGACAACCAGACAAGTCTAGATGAGATCGTATAGTTCCACCAAGAAACATGACGTCCATGGTATTACAAGGCATCAGCTTTCACATTCTCATTTTGCCCTAGAGTTATTGGGAAAGAGAACGCCTGGCAGCCCAGCTTGCCAAAGCCAAGCTCAGAAACAAGTGGTTCTGCCAGCAGGGCCGATGTGATCATCGGCTTTGAACCCCTCACTCTGGTTCAAACTACACTTTAAAACATCTCAGTGAAAGTCACAAAGCTCAATCAATGGTTCATGGAAAAGCTCGATCGTGGATGCAGTCAAGTGAGCAGAACTTGGCAGAACAACTTGGCACTTGGTAGGCCCAAGTGCGGGGCAGCACGTACCCAGCACCACCAAATGAAGTCCAGCTAGGAGACGTTGTTGGCCGGGGAGCTGGGAGCCAGTTCAAGTCCATTCAAGTCATCTTACAAATGTGTGCCAAAATCAACACAGCTCAGAGATTTCTAGCACAGTGGGAATCGTCTGCAAACTTGTGATTTCCTAATCCTCTCTTGGCAGATGGAGATCAGTGTGACAGCAGTCCTTGTCAGAATGAGGGCAAGTGTCAAGATGGCCTCGGGGAATACACCTGCACCTGCACGGATGGCTATGATGGCAAAAACTGTGAATTATGTAAGTTCCCATATCCAAACTGCACCTTAACATCAGAATTACTGGGAGTGAAAGGTAGGAAAGAGGGAAGAAGCTAAAATGCCTAACAAAACTGTATGGTATTGTGTTATTTCTAATGTGTAAAATCAAACATGTTCTCTATTATTGTTAGCCATTATAACAAGAGCAAAAAAAAATATGTCCTCCAAATCATTCATTCAGAGGTATAATGAGAGAGACATGAAAGAAAGTACAGAACATCCAAGCAGCAAGCCCAAAGCCACGAAGTGGATCCTGGCTCACAGCTCCCCTACAGAGCAGGGTACAACTGCTCCTGAGGGTTTCCAAGGTGGTAAATCTTCCCAACCTCATTTTTCTCCCTCAGAGTAGTTGGTGGGTTTGAACTGTCAACCTTTCAGTTAGCAGGCCAATGCGTACCCACAGGGGTCCTCAAACTTTTATACAGGGGGCCAGTTCACTGTCCCTCAGACCGTTGGAGGGCCAGACTATAGTTTAAATACAAACTATGAACAAATTCCTATGTACACTGGACAAGTCGGTTATTAAGCAGGACAGGCAGCAGCAGCAAAAACACCCAGCGGGCTGGATAAATGTCCTCGGTGGGCCGCATGTGGCCTGCAAGCCATAGTTTGAGCTGCACTCCACCATTTCACAAAGCATATGCTCCATCGTGAATACATAAACAGGACTGGCTCTCCTTATTTTCCTTTGAATAATAAATAATCCACATTGCTCTGTTAGTCATTCTCATGACCATAGGTAATAATTCTGTCACTTTCTGCATTACCTTTGTCAGCATGGAATAGTCAGTATTATCTGTTTACAAAAATTTAGTGCATTTCGTTAATTCTACATGGGAAAAATAAATCACTGAGCGTGTTCTCTAATTGTGGTGATTAGTTTTTTCATAAAAATTGGGGTAGGCCTCATTTCCTCTAAAGAGAAAGATTTGCATTTCTTTTAAATGACTTCATTTTATCATCTTTAGAACTTAGTCTTAAACTGACATTTCCCCCCAATGGGAATATCAATTATGTATCACTCCATTAAAAAAAAAGTCCAAAGTCATCTCTCCAGCACAACACTCTGCTAACTTATCAATGTCAAATGTGTCCCTGGGCTAGTAAGAATGTTTTCTAAAATTGGCATTTGCACTGTAATTATTTTTTTAATCAAAACCCAACAGGAGGAATACAGAGTAAACTGCCACAGGCTTACTATGAGTTGGAAATGCAATACTCAGTATATATGGGGAAAGGTTGGGGGAGTCTGGCTTTCTTAAACGTTTCCATGCAGTTAAACGTCAGGGCACTGTGCCAAAAGGTTTACGAAGTTCATCAGTCTTCTTTTGACCTTATGAGGTCATTTTTACCTCCACAACTTACAAATGAGAAACTGAGAACCATCGCCTTTTTAATTTAGTGGCTCAAACACACAACCAGTGAGAGGAGAGGTTGGTGTCTGAACTTAGGTGAGCCTGACTCCAGGACGCATGCTCCAAACCACGTCCCTGCCTGCACTTCCCTCGGTGGCAGGACTGGAGCCCAGTTCTCAGTTCATATTTTTTCAAGGCCTCGGACCAGCTGTGCTTGCCTCGTTGTGGGGTTTCTCAGGGTGCCCCTGCGGGAACTGGGGCCCAAAGAAGGACCTGGTCTCAGTCATGAGAGCCCAAGACAAGGCCTGGCACATAATGAGTGCTTAGTAAATTGGTTTCTGTTGGCAAAAATGAATAAATAAAGGAAAAGAATTGGACCTCACAGGGAACACCACCTAATTTCAGAGTACATAGGGCCAGAGTATGATCTACCACCACCTAATGTAACAGAGCCCTGGTGGCATAGTGGGTATGCATTGGGCAGTGATTCCTAAAGGCCAGGAGTTTGAAAGCCCAGCAGCTCCACTGGAGAACCACGGAGCTTTCTAGTCCTGTAAGAACTTAGAGTATCAGAACCCACATGGGCAGTTCTACCCTGTTCTATAGGGTCGCTCTGAGTCAGAGTGGACTCGATGGCCATGAGTGAATGTGGTCCCCAGGAGCCCTGTTGGTGTCACAGGTTACTCATTAGGCCGCTAACAACAGGTCATCAGTTGGAAACCACCAGATGCTCTGCAGACACAGACTAGGCTTTCTAGTCCCGGAACTATTTAGTGTATCTGAATCCCACCAGGGCAGTTCTACTCTGTTCGAGAGGGTTCCTATGAGTCAGAATGGACTCGATGCCATGAGTTTGTGTTTGGGACGGGGCCGGATTGCTTGTGGTTTGCATTAGTGTTGTAACCCCTCTAAGGAGTCAAGAAGGCCACTCTTAAGGCTACATGCCTCTGGGCTCCTCTGAATTGCACTTGCCACAGTAGTTCATGGGATTTGACTGAGGAAAAGGACTTCTCTGGGAAGGAATTTCCTGAGGTTAAACCATCTTTAAATATTGGGGACTGAAGTTGTGGACAAAAAAGATTTGCCTAGCTTCATAGTCATGGCAGTGAACCAGGACAGCCTCGACCCAAGCCACACACAAGGTTAGTGGTTAAGTCATTAGGGGCCCGGGTGGCTCAAATGGTTTATATCTAGCTGCTAACTAAGAGTTGGCAGTTTGAACTGCCCAGCAGTGCTGTGGAAGAATGCCCTGGCAGGAGAGACTGGAGCACATCCTGGCCCACCAGACCTTGAGGACGATGACCCAAAATAGAGCAGCCAGTCCACAGAGAGGACCACATGGTCAGCCCTACTATGAGATGTGATGCCCCTCACTGACCCAAGGCCCTGCGGGAGACAACACCAGTGATACAGTGTGGAAATTGCGCCTGATCTGACCCCGCCACACTGAGGCAA